GATCAATGGAGTTAATGTTATAGGTTCTCAAGTCAAATCAGGCAGCGGTTGCACCAATTTTCATGCTACAAGATGACCACAGAAAGATCGACACTATTGTTGTTTTGAAAGGGAAAGCTAATTGATTAGCCTATACAACTTCCAAGAAAAACCTGGATGTTGTTGGTAGAAAAAAGGAAGGAAAATTAAGATTGCGAATTAATGTACACCCACACCCTTGATTTGGAAACATCTCCTTCAATTGTTCGCCCACTTTGATTAAAGTAGATAAAATAATAAAGTTCAGCCAGGCTTATAAAATTAGGAAAATGAACCTTTTCATCATAATTGGTTGGAAGAATTCATAATATTTACAATGCTCTCGCTCTTTGGGGGACAAGATTCTGGTGTTTGCACCCTCTAAGAATTTGTATTGTATAAAAATGTGTACAAATTCATGAAGGAAAACATGGATCAGACTTTCTTGTTTGGGTAGGCCAGACGGTAAGATGGAATATGAGAGTAGTTGCTATAGTTACATTAATTATGTGAATTCAAACTTCCTGGTGCTCTATGAGCTATTTTCTAATTCAGCTTCACATGTATTGCATAAATGCACCTTTGCTTTGAGCTATTAGAACTTAATCCAATAAAGATCGAATTACTCTTTCAAAACTTTCCCTAGCCGACTGAATGAGGCTTGGAACAGTAACATATACGATTTAGATGGGAGAACCATTGGCAATCTTTGAGAGATTATTGCTAACTCACCATGGATCCTTTGAAATTATTAGAACATTCATATATTGCAACTACAAAGCCCAACCAGATATAATTCTGAGACATGGGTACGAAGGTCCTAAGGAGAAAAGTCGAACATCTATTAATTGGAAGATGTATTATTAGGTATGTTTTAAAATCAATTGTGATGTATCATGAAAAAGGAAGAGGATCGGCTTTTATTGTTAGAAGTGACAATGTCAGACAATTATTATATTTTTAGTCGAGTTATGATTTGTCCTGATATTTAAAATATTTTTTTATATTTTAAAAATATAGTATATAAATTTTTATTTTCAAGTCTTAATTAACTATTTACGTGACATACTGACTCATAATAAATTATTAATATAATAGTATATATAATTTAAGTTTAAAAAAGGGTTAAGGTCCATTTTAGCTTTTGTAATTTTGGAATGGACCACTTAAGCTCTTATAATTTATTCGTGTCTAAAATAACTCCTATATTTTTAAAAAATATAACATATAAGCATTTGTTAGAGTATATTTATATGATATAATATGCTGACTCACAATAAATCATTAATATAATGATATATATAATTTATATTTTTAAAAAAACTGAAACCATCATCAATGACGAAAGGAGGCATCATTATGGAAGTGACTACCATCAGTAGTACTAAGCCATTGCTACATAGTAGGACATCGCATGCACGTAGCCTCTCCCACGTTGATGATAACTCAGAAGCTTTTTGTCCTACCTTAAGTGGATGTACGTCAATTAGTTCAATGTTAGACACATAGTGGTCTCTTAGTCCATCTTCCTCCTCTTAGGTGTCTTTGTCCCCATCACCTCTCACTTCGTCCTCTCCTGCGCTTCTACCTATTGCACCTATAACGTGGTGGTTCAACTCTCCCTCATCTTCGCCTTCGGTCTCTTCTGTCTTTGTCTTTTTGCTTTCGTCCGTCGCTATGATCTTCGTCGCTTCCTCTTCCTTGACAAGATGGATCTTAACTATTTTTTTAACTTAAAATATACATATAATTATATTAATAGTTTATTATGAATCAACATATCATATAAACAAACTCTAATATCTGTTAACTCAGACTTGACGGGAGAGGCTTATATATTATGTTTTAAAAAATATATGGGTTATTTTAGACACGAGTAAACCATAAGGGTTTTAAATGGTCCATAACTAAAATCAAGGGGCAAAAATGGACCTTAACCCTTCTTTAAACTTAAATCATACGTGTTATTATATGATTAGTTTATTATGAGTCAATGTCACGTAAACAGACTCTAACGTCTATTAACTTAGATTTGATGGGAGGGACCTATATGATATATTTTTTTAAAATATAAGGATTATTTTAGATCCGAGTAAATCATAAGGACTCGATCTATAATTATAATCAAAATGATAGAAACTAAAATCGACCTTAACCTTAAGATAGGGAGAATAATGGGAATGACATCAGTGCAAGTGAAATAATATAATAAAACTATAGTGGACATTAAACAAAAGATGGTAAAATTTCCTAAAGAAATCTTTTACATTGTACAAGTGCTTTTCAAAATTTTTCTATTGCTTAGCATAGAACATTAGAGCATACAAAGTGAATATTGTATGGGATGAGAATTTTCCATCTCATCTATTTGAGTATTTGATTTTGGATGTTTCATTTCTTAGATATACCTGTTTAATTACTTGATAAAATTTCTATTAAAAAAGAACCAAACGAGGCAACACTTATTATTACTATATTTGCTAGGGGGATAAGGGGAATGAAAACTTAACTCTTCATTATCTGCTAGTAATAGCTATTAGTACTATTGATGTGACAGTTTTTCAAAACTAATATGATATCTTAGGCATGGGATATGTAGTTAAAAATCAAAAGGATAGTATCAATGTGGTAGGCTTATATTTTGTATGAGAATGCTACAGTCTGCTCTTCAAGTTGCCACATGACCAATCTAGAATTGCCTATATGTGTAGCTAAGAAAGACCTTCGACATATTTGGATTTAATTGTCTTCCTTGTTAGCTCGCTTAATGACTTTGTCAGTGTACCTTGCTTAGTCAATAACAAAGAAGTAGCAACCAAGAGATTTCCGCCTATGATTGATGCCAACCTAGTAAAGCAATCAAGTCCACTGATAAAGTGACTACTTTGGGAGGAGGGGATAAAAATGGAATGATGGCAAGTTTAATTAATGTCATGAATTTAGCTGTCAATAATAAACTGCAGGATTCATGCGAAATCATATGAATTTTTTATATTAAAATAAAAAAAGACATATATATATATATATATATATATAATATTTATCTTGTTCAATGTGTCATCTTGGAATCATCAATTTATTTTAATAAACTTCATGTGTTGCTAATGAATCGACTTTCAGCATTCGTGAAACAGACACAAAAGACTTCTCGATCATAATCAAATGATTCATGGATAGAATTGTGAGAATAATCGATGCATTCTCTTTAAATGCCACCTACTTTCATAGTTGATTATCTGATGTGGCAAGGGTTCTACCGCAGTTGTAATCCTACAATTAACCAGAAAAACGTTCATTAATTTTTATTTTCTGCTCCGTCGGTGATCTAGAAACATGGATTTACATTGTACGCTCGTGAAACTTAGTGACACCCCATCAAGGACTCGGTGCCATGTGACGACCACATATATATAGTACATCGGCATCAATACATCATGGTACTCACAGGTGTCAGCAGATT